TGCAAATTACTGAATATGGAATTTTCAACGTGCATGATTACGATGAATTCGATTATCGTAGAAGAAATATGAAATAATATTTATGAAAAATATGAACAATCGAGTGCCGTATCAGTGGAAAAAGAACGATCAACGCACCAAACAATTGAAGTGTTTCCTGCCTATGAATTATGAATTTTCCCCTCTGTATTACTAATTCCTAAAAAAGTTATACATTTATAATTAAAGTATTCATTTATTAATGGAAAATTTTAAAGTACTTTTCAATTCCAAAGTAAATTTTAAAAGTTAATTTAAGATTTATAAGATCATTTTTAAAATTTAAGCTTTTATAAAGTATAATGAAATTTTTTTGCAAAAACTAAAATTTCAGAAAATTTCTGAACCGTAGTTTTTATCCAGGAAATCAATAATTTTAAATTATGTATTATTGCCTATGAACTGAAATTCATTGGAATCGTTCTTTTAATACAATACAACCGGTATTCGAGCTGATCAATGATCAGCAATAGTAAAAAAAATGAATTTCCATTTTATCTTTAAAAAAATTTGTTTACAATTCAATAATTTTTTCTTATTTTCTCTTTATTTTAAATTGAAAATAAAATATTTTATTAAAATATAAAATTTAAAACTTGTTCAAGCAAAACTTTTCAAATATTCATTTCTAAAGAATTTAAAAAGTGGGTAGCGCATAGCTCACCATTTCTGGTTTTAATCAGTTAGTTGATTGCTAGTGTGGTTAGAAATTTTTGCCAGGGAGTCCCTTGGCGATAGAAGTATGGGAGTCCGAATTTTTAACGACAGGCTTACTCTTGTAGAGAAACATAATGAACCCTCGCTGATAATGGTTCATTATTCATTTGGCTATCCTTTCTCTTCATTTTTTTCTGTCCTTTTCTTTATTTTTACATAAGATCACCTTCCTTCTAACCAGTTCTGGTTTCGCTTGTTTCACTGGCTACAAGAATGAGACCCTTTCGAATGAGAAAATCACCTGAGAACCAAAAAGTACAATATATTTGTCACCACTCAGATTTCATATTTTATCGCAAGTCTCTCTCCCTATCAGGACTCATTAACTAAACTCATGACATATGACATATCTTTTGATTTATGATTTTTTGGTGATATTCAGATAGTACCAGCTAAATATCACAGAAATCTCAGCCAAAATAAACCTATATAGGCTTAAAAAAATTGCAAAATATCAATTCGTGTGATACGTTCGTAAATAATAAAGAATGGTAATTAAGGCAAAAATAAAAGTTCATTTAATTTAGTGATAAGAAAAATGACATTTATTTCGATATTTCGAAATTTTCAACGACAATCTCTGAATGCATATATTGCATAAATTTAAATTCTCAAATTCATTTTATTTATTTATTGAAAACCAACCAAGCAGGGCGACAAACACCATGTGCTTATATTAATAACAACACTTAAAATAACAAATAATAAGAATTAATGATAAAAAAGATATGACAAAAAATTAACAATTTAAAGAAGAAATTAAGAAGAAATTAAAAAATACTATAATATAGTGCAATTCGAAATAACTATAATCGGATGGTAAAAATCGAGATTTCACCCTTCCTGCAATGTGAATTTTTTAAATAATATCATAGATGATATTATCTAATCTTTTTTCGAAGATAGCTAAGGATAATACACAAGCTGAATCTTTCGGTAATTTATTCCAGTAATTAATAGTACAGATAAAGAAGTCATGAGTTTAGTTTCTTAGTTTAGTTTTACACATAGGTTTTAGTAATTTTAGCCCATTAGTTCTTGTTGGATTCAAATTTAACCTAAAATTATAATATTCTGAAAAATTTAGTTTAAGATAACCATACAAAATCTTATAAGTATAAATGAAATGAAATCTTGTTTAATACGACGAACTAACAAAGAATCCGGGTTGTATTGTAGAAATTTTCCCTTATAACTAAAATTGCAATTAGGAGAGAGGCGTTGTATAAAATATTTTTGGACTCCTTCAATTATTTTACTTGATTTATGATATCTCGGGGAGTAATATGTAGCACTGTATTCAAGAAGTGGCTGAACGAATGGCTTTGTACATTTTGATAATAAAATCTTCAATTTTATTCTTGAACGAACGAAAAATAAAATTTAATATAAATTTATAATTTATTTTTGAGAATTTCTTTACCGTGAATCTGCAGTGAAGGTCGAAATCAAGATTTTCATCCATGATTATTCCAAGATCGGAAATATGTGAGGCTCTATTATTGATTATATTACCATTAATAAAAAGATTGGGAAAATGAATGGATGGATGAATGGCAACTTACGGAACTATGGAAACTTCTTAAGCATTCTTTATATGCAGAGAGGTCACTTGGCGATTTGGTTAATTTGTATTTATTTATTATATTTATTGTGTTTTATTGTATTTATTATAAAGCTTCTTGACATTTTTTTAAAGAGATTTTAAAAAAATGGGAATTGACCTAACGCTTTTTTTTCTTGAAGAGATATATTGCTCTATAAGATAAAAAATGATGCTAATAAGAAAATTAACTTTTTCATCAATAGAGGGAGTTAAAATCAGAAATCCCAGTTTATTTCAGCGAAGATAGAATTAATGATTTCATAATCATAATGATGGTAATTTCTAGAATATCTCAAGGGAGGAAGGTACATAACGGTTTAATTTTAATGAAACATGGATGATATTGTGATCACTATTACAAAAAGACTCCAAGGCTCTAATGCTATCAACAACAAAAGAAGTAGAAGCAGCTAACAGAACATCTAAAATAGTATTATCTAGTGGCAATCTTAACATGTTGTTCTAGACCTATATAGAAACAAAGGTTTAGAAAGTCCTTTTCAAATTTGCTGCTATTTTTCAAGCAACTATTTTCCCAAACTATATTTGGCTTATTAAGATCACTAACAATTACATAATCGGCACCAAATAATTTTAATCTAAATAACAGAAGGTAAAGATCTCTAGTGAATTTACTTCCATAGCCAGGTGGGCAGTATAGATTTAAAAGGAAAATATTTCTAAGAAAAATCATTTTAAATAAATAGCGAATAGTCTTTCACTCTAAATAAATTGTCCAGCAAAAAATTTTTTCTTTCTTTAACCATGAATCCGTTGCGGGTAAGTAAAAAGTGGTCATCATTTCTGGTTAGACTAGCTGTAAACAGGTTGGAAATTTTTTCAATGAGTCACTAAGCGGTAGAAGTTCAAGAAGGCTGCCAGTACCACTTCGATTTTTAATTGAGGAATCATTCCTGTCAAAAAAAGCTGAATCCTTGCTTTCAAACATAATAACCTGCATTATCCGTTCGACTGCTTAATGGCGAATAAGCAATGCCATAAGGGAAAGAATTTTTTTCCCGACAAAATAAAATAATAAGGCTTTTCGATAGATGCGAAAATTCTATAAATGCCATAATGTTGAAGAACCACACATAATATTCACCGTTATTCACCGTTTTGCAAGAAAAAAGAATTTTACTACCTTTTGACGAAGAAAGTTTCGAATTTTTTAAATCTAAAATTATGCTTTGCGAAGAGTGGAAAAACAAAAAACTGAAAAAATCGAAGAGCAAACTGCACAACAACTTGTTTTTTAGAAAAGTAAATATTTAGAAATTATTCGATAATAGTCAAATGAGCATTAAGATTTAGATAAGCATTAGATTTCTTTATTCTTGCCTAAGCCACGGTTTTAAAAATGAAACCATTAGTGGTCGCTTCTGGAAAGTCTGAAATCGATAACTCTTTGGCAAAATGGTCTAAAGGCCTCAATCCTATAAATCAGTGGTGCCACCCAAACCAGTGCTATTATTTATAATTTTATTGATGGTAAGATATATGAGATATTAATTTTAAGATGCAATAGAGTGGAGTTAAACTCTATTTGATTTTTCCAGTCTAAATATATTGTTCTTGTTCTTTTTCCATTTATTTTAACAATTATTGATCATCATCGGCAGATTTGATGATAGAAAAAGAAATGGAATTAAAACTGTAGTAAGGAAACATACTCCAGTGCATTTTTTTTCTAAAGGCCTTCACCATTTCTGGTCAGACTTTTCCCACTGGCTCGTTGGACCAGATAAACCTCGCCAAATCATTTGTCGACAAGTGAGTCATTAACATTCTGAATATGTAGCATTGTAGTCAAGAAGTGGCTGAACGAACGCTTTGTACATTTTGATAATAAAATCTTCAGTTTTATTCTTTAACAAACGAAAAATGAAATTTAATATAAATTTATAATTTATCTTTGAGGATTTCTTCGCCATGTTCTGCAGTGAAGGTCGAAATCGAGATTTTCATCCATGATTATTCCAAGATTGGAAATGTCTGAGACTCTATTGATTATATTGTTATTAATAATAAGATTAGGAAAATCGAAACCTTTAGAATTGATATGAAGAACGCTAAATTTTTGAAAGGAAAGAGTAATTGATAAATAAAAAGTGGGCTGTTAATATGATAAACATCTAGTGAAGGATTCCATCGATGGGAATATTATAAAATAATTATTAAAATATAAAGACAAATTATAATAATGATTCATACTGATTTTAGAAAAAATTTATGGATAATGATTCATCCGTCTTAGCTAGTGATTGAAAATGTCGGAACAACATGTTTCAATTAAACTGTGAAGTACCATGGATTTAGTTTCCGACCCTTGGTAGAAATAAACCTCTCATTAAAAATTAAATTTGGATTGGTCCAGTTGTACTTCTATCAATATATTTTATAGAACAAGTCAAACCAGAAATGATAAGCACTGAATTATCAATTATAAGCTATTATCAATATTATATTTTGGTAAAATTTTCGGATAATTCGTTCTTCTTCATTTCGATGAATCATTTTTTTTTTCCTTTTCATTTTTACTACATTGTACTATGTGCAACAAAGCAATTCAGTCCTTTTTTATATATTAAGTGGCAAAAATTTGTAGAGGAAATATTGGTGAAATGGAGATATTTCTTCATAATGGGCGAGCTTGCACCACTTGAATTTCTTCAAAACGTTTTTCACTACTAGTTTCACACATTTCAATTATTGTCATTACAGAATGTCGATTGTTTCTTAGTCGTTTCTCTGAATTTAAAAATTTTACTAAACAGCACAATGAGCAAAATAAATTATCTTACTAATATTAATATTAATATTAATAACGAATTAAAGATGGTTGTCATCATGCGAAATGCAGTCTTCATGATGATTAAATGATAAATAAGTGCGAATTGTGAATACGTCATAACTTACCTGTTTCCTCGTGACATGTAGCATTAATCATGAGGCTTTGAAATATACTTTTTTGCGCTTCATGATTATTCTGATAAAATGTCTTACCAATGTGTTCCTGAATTGCTTTTTGCTAGATTCCTTTTGCCGAATCATATATAACGTTGCAGAAAAATTAGCGAATTCTATAAGATCCACAAAAGAGCAGCAATTTTATATACTCTATGAAAAACTTCGATCACAAAAAGAATATGTAATAGACCTTTACTTCATTTAATCGCAAATCAAGCAAATATTCGTAGAACTCTACAATTGGGTCATTAAGTTCAATATGAAGAATTTGGGACTTGTTTAATCTGTAAAATTCTAATATTTTCTTTCATTGCATAATAACTCAGTGGAAAATAAAAATGGGCTAGCGAGGCTCAAATCCTTCAAAATTCGTGATGAGAATGCTACCAACCAATATGGAAATATGAGATATGAGATAGCTAATTTAATATTTAACGAGAATTCCGTAGGGATACTGTGATAATCTCTTGCCCCAACTGAACTTTGCAATTCCTTATTTGTGATGGCGATTTATTTTACATATAATACAATATTATAATTTTATTATTATAATTATAATTATACTCGAATAAAGTTGTTAAATTGCCCTCAGAAATTAGGAATAAAATAAAAGCTGAAACTAAGATAAATATAACCTGTATAGTAAAGCGAATGCTATGAGTGGTACTGCGAACAAAATTGTTGTAAAAAAATTGAAAATTCCTTTCCAAATTCCTTCCTGAAAAAATTGTAGTTTTTTTAACCATTTGTGGAATTTTGAATTTTGAATGATGCTTTGAATGAGAAATTGCATTCGATGAAAAAAAATATTAGCTTTAACACTAATTATATGCAGTGAAACAGCTCCTTTTGATTCATGATCTTCATAACATTCATATTTTCCGTCATCCAAACCAGAAAGTAAGGGCCAAATCTGCAATAAATATCAGCCTCAACTTTTTAAGATAGTCTCATGAAAAAATCACAAAATGTTGAATAGAATCAATCATTTTTGACTAAATTACAATTATGTTAATGAAATTTTACCACAAGCTCATTCTCCGAATTGATATTTATTCTCCAGTTTAACTGAGAAGTTAATTTAATACCATTAATAAACCATTCCATCTTTTCCTGAAAAATTCATAACAATGGTACGAATATTCAAGAAATTCATTTCGCAAGTATTTATATTTATTTATAACTTCTTTACCTTCTATATATCCTCCAACTTTCACCCTTTGTAGTTCTTTAGTATTTGAGATCTCAGACTTATTGAAAATGATGTGCGGGAGAAGTTGCATCTTTGGCCGATAGGATTCACCCTAGTGTCCGATGGTACTAGCCAAACCAGAAATAAATCGTTAAAATATGGAGAGCAATAACTTAATGCATTTTTAACTTTCTCATAAAATTGAGTTGAATTGAATTGAATTTCTTTTAATGCAAAAGCCTCTCCAAAAGCATCCAATTCAAGTAAATCAAAGCAATCAAACTGCTTTTATGAATTATTATCGCGTTCTCCTTTCTCCTTTTAATAGCATTTATTTCCGTTTTGGCTGAATTCATTGAGAATTACTTAGAATAGAAACACAGATAAGTCTGATGTACTCATGCATTTTATTAACAAGAATCCATCTTATATTGGCTGGAGAAACTCTCGTCTCACTCGTCTGTGTTGTAATCTCATAAGAATAAACAATAAAATAATAATAATAAACTAAATAAACATTTGCAATTATTGGTATTTAACAGGATAAAAATGGGTTAATAAATACGCTGATTCAGTATTCAGATAAATGTGGTAAAATGAAATACTTTTGCATTTTTCTGATCGCTTACGGCTGAACATCGTAAAATCAAATACAGTCCTTCTATTAATTCCAAATTAACGTTAATATTCCGCAGCTCTACTGCATAAAATGATTTCTTTCCAATGAAAACAGCTTTTAAAAGTCGCCGTTTTGCTGAACTATGTTTTGATATTCTTTTCTTATCTAATTTCTTTATTTTTTGTCGTAGGAAATCTGGCAAATGCGATTCAACGAATTTTTTATCTCTGGAAAACTCAAAAAAATAAATTTAAAATCGATTAAAAGAATAAGCAAGACATGACCAAATGTAATTTGCTGCATTTGGCTAAGAAACTGAACTAGATCATCATTCATTTTTAGGAAAACGAAATGAAGGATTGAAGGATGTGGAAAGCACTGATTGATGGCAAATAGCAAATTCATTAACAGATGAATATACAGATTATAACAATTTTAATAACAATTGAAATTATTACTAAAAATTTTAGACCCCTGATGGGTATTAAGCTCCATTCCTAAACAGTCTTCTCTTCTTTCTAATGTCGCTTATTATTTCTAATATGGCTAGATCTACTGAGGATGCGACTATTCAGCCCGTAAGTTATTTGAAACAGAAGTATAAATATAGTCTCTAGCACCACATGGATTCCACATTTACTCTTTTAGAAGGGAATCGTATTGCTTGATCATCGATAATTAAAATACCACTCGATTTTGAAGCTATTACATAAAACTAATGAAAATTAGCACAAGGGTTCCAAGTAAAAGTAAATAAAATTTAGATGATTAGTATATAGCACTTTTGCTCCCTGTACTGAACAGCAGTGAGAAATAGAATTTTTTGCTAAAGAGTATACAAGTGCAGGTGGATTTTTTCACATTTCTTCTAACAACTCTTACCATTATTGGCTAGACTGGCTACACTGCCTACAAGGGTAAGATGCCTCCAAGCTGCTCGGTCCTAGGTCGTCGACAGCGATAGAAACCATTCCTTTTTCCATCATTTAAGTCCATATATCGTTAGTCCAACTATATATTCAAAATCTTTTCGGCTGTAATAATCCAGGTTTTGATTGGCCTTCTTCACTTTTGACGCCATCCGTCACAGGGCTTAACAAGTAATGAAATATGTGTACATTACTGTTGTAGGCGGCAAAGAACATACCCTAACCAGCGAAGACGACTTTCTATGATGATACTATGTGCGATATTGATGAAAGTGATTTGAGAGAAGATGGATGCAATAATGTGAGACTTTGTCCGCTCAGCGGACTGGTAAAATGCATCTTAGATGAGCGGTCAAAGGAAGATATCCTCCACTCTCATCAGTCATGTCTTATGGCCATATAGATCGAGCAAATCGCAAATTGTGAACTCGGACTTTCATTTTTATAGTAATTTCGCAGTGAGTTCATGAAGATTCCATCAACTGGAAGGAAGTATTTTTAGTATTTTTATTATAATTTATAATTCTTCTTTCGTTTGGGTATTAGAGTGGATCCGAGATATTTAAAGCCTGGAACTTCCTCAACCAGCAATGAATTCATTAAAAATATATATTTTATTAGCTTCTTACATATAAGATGAAAACATTTTTGTTTCATCCTGAGTCTAATTTTCACTAAAGTTGTCGAAACATTGTTTAGCATTATTCACATTTCGTCATAATTGTCAGTAAAAAGGACTACATCATCAGCATGTTCAAGATTTGTGATACTGTGCCTAGCACTGATTTGCATATCTCTTGAATGCAGGCAAATATTCACAATATTCCAGTCAATCCAGTTTAATTGAAGGGGAAAAGAAACAATCTTGATGGATACCAGTTCTTATTTTGGAAGGGTTTGTTAGTTCCCCATATACGCAAACTGCCAGTGTGAACTGATGCTCTTATGAGTCGAATGGATAGCAGATATTTTAATCGATGTTCTAAACGTGAATAACTAGTCAGCTCAACAGCCCAAATCCAGCTTGGTTAGGGCCCATCCTGTTATCTCGCACAGCCATAAGTTTGTTCAATAGAAAGGGAGCAAAAATTTTCCCGGAGATGTCCAGCAGATTAATTTTTTTGCACTTGTCGGATGAATTTGAAATTTTCTCAAGATGAGCAACACTCGATTATCCAAGGGAAGGGAATTGGTTAAATTATCCCATCATCTTCTACCCAAAATTTGAAAGTCATCATTTAATATTTGGAAATGAATTCAGTTTCACATTCTAAAATATAAATTTTTATTTGATTTATTAACTTGAAATAATTATGAAAAAATCTGCAAAACTAACGGAGTTTTAGGGCATTTGCCTAGAATTACTCGCTTATCATAATCAATAGGATCAAGAAATGCGCATTCCATCATTTCAATTCGACTCAACTTTTGTTTCTCGCTTTTTTCGCCTATCATGGCCGATGAAAAAATTAAAATTTCAAGAAATAAACCGCTCAATATGAACATGAAGGGGAAAATAAATGCAGTGGAAATTTTCGAATGGCTTTATTAAAAAAATTTGTTAAAATAAATTGCAAAATAAATTGCAAAAAGTAAATTAAAACTATTTAAGCTAATTTCTGTCTTCTAATCTTCAGTAGTTGAGTCAAGTGGATGGTGCTTTAGATTATCGCGTTGAGAGGAAACGATCCAATTGCTGCTCTCAACATGAGTAAAACTGCACTAAAAAATTTGTGGATGGTGGAGACGAATCATTGAAATTTTAGCTCCAAATGAAAATAAAAATTTCTAACATAATAGCTGTTGGAGCTAATCAGAAATGGTGAGCACTAACTTAATAATAGTTATCACTTATGATTGGGCTGATTTGCTGAGTACTAGATTTGGATCCTTTCGCCATAGGATCATTTATAAACAAGAGGAGATCTCCAATACCACATATTTCACTTTTAATGAACAAGTTTATTCCATCAAAAAACAAGAAATCTAATCAACGTGGGAATTCACTCGAAACCACTGGCGCCCTTCGTATTAAAATCTCAATAATGGTTTGATTATCTATTTCTGCCATTCGAACTATAATGTATCATTAAAAAGTGGAAACGATAATCATTGAAAATAAAATTCAGGTGACCAACCCATATTTCTATCCCTTGCGAAAGAAAGTCATATAATGGTTATAAATAATTATATAGGTTGGATTCACCTCTGAATTTCACAATAGATTAAATAACTTTAAAATTTTTTGAATTTAGGATCGAGGAGCAGTATTTTTTTTTATAGTATGAATCTGATTGACCTAATCAGATTCATATTTCCAAATTTGATAAAGTTAGGAAAAATGTAATACGCATAAAACAGGAAAAAATTGGATTTCGAAAAACTACACAGATAAAAATCAATAGGATCCTTCTAATTTATTTATTCATTGAATACTCTCTCGTTCCCATCAAATTTAAACGAGGGTCCTGAGGGACGATTTAAAAGATTTTTGTTAATCCACTATTTGTTATCATTTAATTAATATTCTAATATTTATTATATTATAAATTATTATTTAATTTTGACTTTATTCAAAATTTAAATTTTAATTTCGATTTATTTTAATTTATTTTCTGCCAATCTTTCCCATAAAATAGAGAAAAAGTCCACTATTTCGTTATGGCTTCGCTGCCTATTAAAGATTTCTAATAATGAACCGTTAGAAATTAAAAATTATTTTTCCAGTTATGATAATTAAAAAAAATGTATGAAAACAATGTAATACGGAAAGGTTTTCAAAGGCTTTTTAAAACCATAATATAATAACTGTAAAAAACAGTAATGTCTTTTGGTTGCATAAGTTTTCGAAAACTTAGAGAATGGCCAAGAATATCTAATAGCATCTTATATATATTTTATAAGTACATTAAGTGTAAAGGAAGTGAATATGTGCGAATTTTTTTTGCAAAACTGGGATTCAAATTTTAAAGGTAATTTTGTTGGAAGTTATAATTCACTTATAGTTGCCTTTCAAAAAATGATGACGACACAATATGACGTGTAATCGTGTAAATCGCGTAAAAAGGATAAATTTTAATGTAAAGTGAAAGTTACGCTGGCCTTAGGCAAAATTATTACCTTCATATTTAGAATTTATAACAATGAATTGGCATTTACAATATTTAAAAGGGTAGCCGAATCAATAATGGATGAGTTGTATATTACTTAGCAAGGTTTCGGCACTTGCCCTGGGTAGGATTAAACTTAAAAAATAAAAAAATAAAATAAAATAAAAAAGTCGAGGCAATCCCTCTTGTATTCCTAGAAATGGTGAATACTAGCTACTTATTTTTTAAAATTATTTTATGAGCTCATTCGATCCATTTTGGAATCAAGGTATTTTTATCATTTTATTTCATTAAAGCCAGTTAAATCGCTCACTATACATTCTTCTTTATTCCAATTCTAGTCTTCCAGAGTTCAGTTTTCTTTTTAAACGCCTTTTCTTACTTCTTGAATTTTCTGAATAGATTTTTTTATCAATTTATGAAATTTTTAAAATTCTGTTTTTAAAATTTTTAAAATTTTTTAAATCTGCAAATTTAGCATTATTACAATATTATTTCCGTCCACAATATTAGTAACGAATTCTCCAGTGACTGAATGAGAGAAAAGTCGGTAATTAGCACACTTACTATTTCTGGTTAATCTCGCTCCCTAGTTGCCAGTACGGTGAGAAATTTTTGCCAAAAAAAAGAATCATTTCAAAATAAAAGTTCAAAGTCCAATAAAAGTTCAAATGCTGATTTTTCGATGGCAAGTCTATTCCTCTCTGGGCGAGGTTCAGAAATTAATTGAGAATTTGTCAACAAAAACTATCCAAAATGAGAAAGAATGTTTAATTTCATGGCAAATGTGGTGATTTATGGGAGTGGAATGGCTTCAAAAATTTTCTTGCATATGTCTTAAATGAGGGATTGTTAAAATTTGGAAAAATTTTTTTTGAATGTAAGTAAGTTGGGAAAATGGCTGGGAGAATAGAATACGATTTCTGTTAAGATTTCTGCCATTTATTGTCTATTTCGATTTTTCAAAGGTACTTTGTGACGAAGAAATTAGTCGAAGTCGAATGGCAGATAATTTAGACTAAGATGCACGAAACCAATGGAGCCAGAAATCTTTCCGATCATCAAGTGCAAAATTTCCGATCATCAAGTGCATCATATTTAATAATTGTATTTTTTATATCTATAATTTCTTAAATCGATATTCTATAAATATTAACCAAAATTAAAATTTAACAATTCATCAAACGCGTTTCTTTTACCTTATCAAATTCGTTGTTGCTGATCGATTTAAAGGCAAATATAACCAGTTTTTGGTAATGTCCAGATGCATTTGTTTCAGTTAAATATTTCAACTGTTCAAGAAGGAAGTACAGTAAATAGTTAAATTTTCTGAATCCGATTTTTTATGTGTTATTTTGATCTGGGAAATTTTTTTTTGAATGTGTTGACTTATTGAGTCAACCCATATTATTGATCTCTTATTGACCTATTTAATACTGTGTCGTTATGAATAAAATAACATAACAAATAATATTGCCACTTTGCCACTAATCATTAAATGACTTATCTCTACATTATCACGAAATTCTTCTTGAAATCTCTTAAAACGTGGAATTTGCTTGCATGAGATTTAACCTAACATTAAAAATATGGTGGAGCGATCCGCCTATTTTTTAATCGCTAAATGGAGCCATTTTCAGAAGTCATTTTCTTCGTAAAACAACCATATTCTCTAGCAATGCTTAAAAATATAGCAACGCAAAAAATTTGAAGAATTAGAAAATAAAGCTATAATAAACACAAATCGTTGAATTTATGGAATATTTATGGAATATTCCTAATTACGATGGTGATTTTCCAAAATCATTAAACAATAATGATAATTGTTTGTTCTCTTGAGATCGAGGTCAAAGAAAATCTAGAGTCTAATCCATATTTTGAAGGGTCGTATAAATGAACAAATGAACTACTTAATTTGATTAAGTATTTTTTGGTTGTTTTGCACAAATATGAACTGATAAAATGCGATAAATACTAACTGGTATAAAGAACGAGTAATAGATGGATTGCTTTACGAGAAGCCTAGATTGTGTGCTAAACTATCATTTAAATCTTTGGGGAGTTGCAAATGGCTAGTGAATAAATAAAAAAGTTGGTGCGACTTTATAAAACCATTTTTTTAATATTTTCGAATCAAAAATTGTTTATTCGAAAGAAAGGTTCGCTGGTCAGTTTTCTTAATGGATAAGTTTAATGGATAGGAAGTAGAATGGTTAGAGTGGTGCATTGCTTCGGTTGAGATTTGTTGACATCATGGCTTCAATTCCCTTTGCTTAAAGGAAAAAGCAAAATGCTGGAATACCCAGCTTCTACCTGGTCCTCTGGTGAAAAGATCTTATCTTAACAGCTGCTGGAACCAGCCGAGGTAGAAATAATGCTAACTTCATGCATGCGAATTGGCAATTTTTTTTTAACAAGCTCATTCTTTTTCCATGAACTTTTAATCATTTGATCACTATTCGATTTCAGATTATGGACTGTAACCCTAGTTCGAGAGTTTTGTTTTTCTTTATCTGTGGCTACTGAGCTGACAATGCCTTATTATTTGAATATTATTGAAATCTTCCGCCATATTTTTGTCCTATTCAGACTATTTTTTTGCATTACATTTATTTAAAAAATTTTCTTTCATATTTCTTTGCCTTATTTTTTTTAACTTATGTCATTCATTTTTACTGAATTTCCGATTTCTTTCTCACTTTTTTTTGGATTTCCTACTATCATGTGATTGGCAATAAATGAGATATTTATATATATATATATATATATATAATAAGGCTCGCGCAACATTCGATTAAATAAGTAATCGCTGTGGCATAAATGTTTAAATATTTAAATATTTTTTATCCTCTTAACATTAATTTAATCACCCAATTTCAGTTTAATAGAGAACGTTGTCAATAATTTTATCAAATTTTTTTGACCAAATCTTTGGTTTTCGATAATTTGAGGAGAATAATTTTGGCCAAAACGTGGAGGATCTTCACGACAAGTTTTACTATTGGCGTAAGTCAACCCTTTAATAAAAAAAAATTTGGCTGAATATAATTTTCTTCACTTTGATAATTAAAAGCTTTATTGATTATCAAGCTTTATTGATTGAGTGGAATTTTTTGATATAAAAAATCCGAAAATTTCTAGAATTGTCAATTAAGCCTGAGTACTGATGCCAATGCTCTACTTTAAACTCCAATTTGGACTTGAGGATTTAGCCTTAATATGTTAATATCCAAGTTTATGACCATTAAGGGAAGAATGGCCAAGGTGGTTAGATTACCATATCAAGCATATTGGTTCGACTCCTCTTGTCCCTTTTTCATTTCTCATTAAGAAATGTATGCATTC